GCTCTAGGACATGAATGCTCCATAGTCTGATCCAATTAAATTCACTTCTTTTTGTAGTGTTAGTTTTTGAGGGAAATCTTTGAAGTTTGTTTGGACTCCAGAAAGGCTGTCCTTAGCTGTCTTTTTTCTTGGTCCTCTCTGGTAAACTAGCTGGCTTATGGTTTAGCTTATTGCTTTAATGGAACTATCAGCTTTGTCTTAATTGGTTACCACCAAAATCTCCATTGTTTTTTAGAGCACCCTTGGACTTAAACACTCTATTTCAAATAAAGTCAGTTCCTTTGGGGAGAGTTTACAAGCTCTCTGTTCCTTTGGACTTCCTCCTCTCTATATGTTCTTATTGGAAAAAACTCTGAGTTGGTGCTCTAGAGCTAGGAGCAGGGACAGTGGCCTGATTCTCTCAGAGTGAAAGCCCTGCTTTTTTAGCTGGGCAGAGGTGGCAGCCTCTGGTCTTCTCATCTTATCTGCCTGGCATAACAGATAAGCATATGTACTGAGGCAAGGGCAATCAGAGTTCCAATATTCTTGGCCTGCTGCGCTTGGGATAGAGTTTCTGTCTTATAAATGAGGGTGGGTGGAAGAAGAGAGTACCTAATGTCATGGCTACATTACAAGGAAGTTAATTTTTGTATCTTATAAATAAAAAGTGTGTTTAATTTAGGTGGCCTCCTCTTCCTGATATCCCTTAACTGGGAGCTGATGGGTGAGGGAGCTCTGTTTTCTTGACCCCACCCAAATAGAATGGAGCTTCCATCACACTGAGCTGAGGGATTGATTGGGAAGCAGAAAGCTGTGACTGAAGTTCTTACTCAAATTTAGTATATTTTCTTAAATAAATATTTCTTAATTTGCCATTTGCTCTTAGGATAATTTCCAGAGACTTTAAAGAATTGTTTGCTTTTTAAGAAGTAATTTTAGTAGTTATGGTTGTTTGCTGAGGAGCAGTTTCAAAGAACTCCTCACTATGAAATTCTGGAAGTGAAAGTCTCTCTCTTAGGCTTTTTATATTTATCTAAAATATGAGAGAATGAAGGCAATTATCTGAATTAAATTTTTAAAAATCTTAAAGAGAAAGGCCTTCTGGGACTAGATTTCTGGGTGGAATCATCTAGGGTTTTTCCCTGTGATTGAATTCTTCTGAAAACTTATTAGCTTTGCAAAATTCTTTGAGTAAGCAGACTTAGGATGCTCTACAAATATTTTTTTTCAGCAATGTGGACAGTGCGCTGAAAAAGTCTGACTTAATTATTGCCTCCAGTGTGAAATCCATATTTTAAGACAATCTTAGTTTTCCTCTTCATTTACTTGATAGCTTGGGGCCATTCTCAATTTTTTAAGCCAGAAACTTTAAATGTATTTATTGAAATCAGTTCATCAAACTTTATGGAGCTCTACCCTGGACAGTCTGTCAACATTGCTCTGGGTACAATGGGAGACTCCAATATAGATATGATCTGTAATCGCAAAGAGCCATTAATTGGGAATTTACATAGCCAAGAATACACAAATTTTAGCTCTTTGTAAACACTCGGTTAATATTGAAGGGTTTTTTCTAGGTAGTTGTTTTTACACCAAGGTCATTAAAGTAGTTAGAGGTAGTGATATTTACAATTGTATCATGTGAATTACATTGGCTCCTTTAGTAAAATATCTTGTAAGCATATCCTGCTGGCCTCAATGGCTGCCTAACTTTTCAGGGCATCATAGGCCTCTGTTGTCAAGTACCTAAACTTTCTTGCTCCCTCATCTGTAACTATGTCATAACTATACTCCATGATATTTACTTTCATAACAATTGGTTCACCTTTTCTATTATTATTTGATTCTCTATATGATGATGTGAATGAGATTGCCCAGGAAAGCTGAAATCTAGGGATATATATTAAAACTATGGTGAAGCTGGGATATATATTAAAACTATGGTGAAGCTAACAAATTTGGGGAATATTTTTCCTACTTAAACCTACAAGTTAGTTTATAAATTTTTGGTACCTCTGGTTTTTATCCTGGCTATCTTCCTATCAGTCTGAAAGAATGTGAGTAATAACTAGACCTCCATGTGTTCCCTGTTTTTGTTTTTGACTTACGTCATTCAAATTATTAACCCTACAATACAGCCCAGAACTCCATTCATTCAGTAAACAACCAAAGGCCCCCTATGTGGGAAGCATTATGCTAAGTGCTGGGGCTTCAATAGCAATGAGATGATTTCCTTGATCTTAAAAGAATTTTGTAGGCTCATGAGGGAAACAAATATGAAAACAAATAAATGTAAATAACAATAAGTGTTCTATGATAAAAGAATTATGTACAGGGCAGATAGAAGACTGCAAGGTCAGTGCTCACTTCTGCAGGACAGTAGAGAAGTCAGAAGAATTTGCACGTCCAGGAAGTGATGGCTAAACTGAGCCACCACGAAGACAGATTCTAATAAGACTGGATAAGACAGAAAGTGATGAGGAAGGGCATTCCAGGCATGAGAAAGGCTTGAAGGTAAAAATCCACACAAATAGACTTATTGTTAATGGTCTTTTTACCTTGCACTCAGGGGAATGTGAATCTAAGAGAAGATTCTATTTTCTTGATTGTAATACTTTTATTTTTTTTTGTCTGACTTCTCCAGTTCTCCTGGTCTCAGCCTCCTTGATAACAGGGAGCAGCGCCATTTTTACCTAACACAGACTCTAACATTCAGTAGGTTCTTAAATATGTTGAATGAATGAATGACATGAATCCATTGCTCACTGTCCACATTAAGGGTAACTCTTTGCCCTGGAATTAGTTCCGAGTGTACTTCACATAATGATACCAGCCTCTGTTTCTGGGTTTCTCGCCTTTGTTAGAGCTCCAGGGAGGGAAAGACTGCTTCTCAGACCAGGTTTGGCTGGCACTTTCACTGGAACTAGCAAAAGGGATGTGCACATTCCATATAGGTGTAAATTGTGGGTTAAGCTTTGGCTTAAGATCTTGTGCCTCATTTTAAGAAAAATTACATACCTTGATGCATATCATGCATAAGTAGATGAAAAATTGGTAATTAAAGCTACCACTTTCGTTTCAACAACCTTTTTTTTTTTTTTTTTTAATACAGCACTGATACCTTCTAACACAGAGTGGGAATTTACTAGTTTGGGTCTTTCATCCCCCCTGGGCTAATAGCTCCTCATTTACTGATCTTGAACCCTTGGTAACCCCCCAGTTTGTCATTTCCTGGTATTCCTGGGATCTACCCACTGCATGGGTTATGCAGCATCTCCTAGACTTGGTTGGAGAGGTTGGTGAGGAGAGGCCAACTCGCCCCTTTCCTGCCTGGCCCAGTCAATCTCCACTGTAGATCACACAAGGGTGTAATAGTGTTTATGGCTATTTTTCTTTTTTTACTGAGAAAACTCAAAATATCTTGGCTTTACACCCTCACGAAGGACACCCTCAGTGGGTACAGCCTCAGTGACTACCCAGGTGTCCTGCCCTAAGGTTAGTCTCTCTCTAGGAGAGACCTATGGGGGAGCCCCTTCTCTCTCCAATTATCCATTTTCTCTCATCCCCCAATCCCTAGCAGTACATTTCCTCACATCTCACTCATTAACTATAATAAAGGGTGATACTCTAAAGTTTAACATTCTAAGGTAGGGTCAAGAGAATCAATTGCAGTAGGTGGGGCTCTGTAACTCCAAATCACACAGATTCCCTTTTGAGGTCTCTCTTCCCTTCCTCCCCTGAACTACAGGACAGCCCCTGGAACACACGCACGCACGCACGCACACACACACACACACACACTCCTCCTCCTCCCAAGACCTAATGCTAATTATCAGAGAAATTACAGACTGATGCCTTAAAGAGGCAAGAGTTTTCTAACTGCTACATAATTTGCAAGGCAACTCTCTCTCCAGCAGTCTGGACATATTATTATGCAGAAAACCACACCGGTGAATTCCCTTTCTCCATCCTATCCCCACCCTAATCCTTCTCCCGTGCCATTTTAAATTGTACTCTCTGGGCTTGCTAGAAATAAGAGAAGGTCCTATTGTGGGGCCAGATACTCATCCAAGGGCTTGAGCTAACAAAGAGATGCTCTGCTATTGCTGCTCTATTGAAGAATAGATTAGCTCCTTATCTGAGAGTCCACTTTACCCTCAATTTCCAGCTAGGCAGGAGGGGAGCCAATGGATTAATCTTCCCTTTGCATAATATAGGTAATTGACGATCTGTGTGCACAATAGCCAGGTCACTTGGTCTGACAAAGGGTTTATTTTTTCTGAATCATGGTTCATTTTCATCAAGTCCTACAAAGAATAAAAATCAAGCTAGATTTCAGATTTTTGTGCAGCATTTAACTAATCACCTTCCTGAAGAAAAATTACACAAACTCATGTAGAAAATTCAGCTGGCGTGGTCATCAGAGCTTTATGATAGATACACGAGTTAATTGTGAAAAATGTTCAAGTCCTGAAATAAAACTTCTCTTTGAACACATGGCCATGTAGCCTGGTGAGGCTAAAACTGGTCAAAGGCAGAGCTGAATGTCAAATGATAATTTCTGCTAAATAATTCAGGCCATGTGAACTCTGATATTTTACCTACTTTAATGAGTATAACGGGTGCAATTAGAGGCTGTTTTCTGCACGATGCCAGACACAATGTGTTCTCACCTAACTGTGGGCCCCAGTTTTCTTCTGCTAACTCCTGATCCTGTATTCCTTCTGCCTGGCAGCAGCAGCCACTAAATAAATGTGGGGTGAAGTCAGTGACTAAGGGTGTGTTTTTTTTTAATTGTTCAAAATATTACAGATGTCCCCTTTTCTCCCCATTGACCCATTCCACCTTGCCCAGTAACTAAGTTTTGATGATCACAAGGAACAAAGATTGCAGAACAAAAACTAGACGTTTCAATGCGGGCGTCTGTGGTCCTGCTCATTGCAGCAGAGTGGAATGGAGATAAAGACGTCTGCGGACTTGGGCTTCCTTCTAACGTTATCTTTTTCTTTCTCCCCTGGCAGGGAGGCGATGCTGATATGGTTGATAAGAACAAGTGCTGCACACTCTGTAACATGTCTTTTACCTCGGCGGTGGTGGCTGACTCACATTATCAAGGCAAAATCCATGCCAAAAGGTTAAAGCTGTTGCTAGGAGAGAAAACTCCACTGAAGACCACAGGTATGTGTGCGAACCGTAACCGCAGGGAGACACTGAGGTTCCAGCAGCCTGCCTGTCTCGTTAATCCTGCTCCCTCCTCAGAGGTGGCTGCCAGATCGGAGGCTATGGCAGATGTCCTTCCAAACCTAAAGGGCGGGGCAGGTAGCCCAGCAGACCTTACTCTCATGGACCATTAAGTCCGCTAGCAGGTGCTCATCCTCAGCCTGGCTCCTTCAGATCAGTAGTTTGGCAGCTTGCAACTTCCAGAAGGCTGTTCACCTCCTACAAGGCGATGTCTGTCACACTTACTATATATTACGTAAGATATCATATCTATTACGCAAAGAGCACGCTTCCTCCCTGGTTTCAGTCCGCGCTCAGTATAGGAATGGAGAGTGTACTGGCGCAATGGAACACTCCCTGCCCAGGCCGGTGCGGTGCAGGGTGTCCTCCTTGGAGGCCGCGGGGAAGAGGGAAACTGTAGTTATGAAAAACACTTCTGTTTGCAGACAACTGAGATGGTTTTTTAAGAAGAAAATTTCTACTTAGATTAAGAAAATATAGATATAGTATTTTAAATATTCATCTGAAGTCCTTATTTTCAGATGTTGAATATTATTTGCTATAACTTTAATAATCCATCAGAACTTATTTATTTATTGAGGAAATAGTGGTCATAACATTACATAAGTTTCAGGTGCTCAACACCAAAAGTCTTCTTTCCATCTGTCTCTGTACATTTGACTCCCTTTACCCATTTCTCCCTCCCCTCACCCCTTTTTCCCTGGTGACCACCAATCTCTTGTTAGCATCTATGAGTTTGTTTTTGTTTTTTGTATATTCGTTGTTTTTTTCAATTTCACATATGAGTAAAATCACATGGTTTTTGTGCTTTCTCATCTGATTTATTCAGTTAGAATACAAGGTCTATCCATGTTGTCCCAAATGACAATATTTCATCTTTTTTATTAGATGAAATTCTTATCATTTTCACAGGGGATCCTATGACTCAACCTATTAACTTTCACAATAAATAACTTACATATTGATAACATTTGACCTTCTACTTGCTTAACTAAAAAATCTTTTCAAGAAGTCTGTCAAATCACTAAACTAAAAATACTGTTTTAATTTAATCAAGTTAGGCAGTTTGAACAAGGTGTACATTACGGTGAAGATGTTAACTAGAACAGGTTATAATTCCAAGAAGTTGGGGGTGTATTTCATGATGTCTATTCTTTCAATGCAATTAAAATTTAGCAGCTCATTTTATCCTGCTGTCTAATGAATCGTGCATAAATCGTGGGTGTAATTCCTTTTTAAATGGTATTTTGGAAATTGGAGAATGTCTAAAACAATACTTGGCTTTTATCCTCAGCAGTGTTTTTCTTCAGAGAAAGATCTTCTTTTACTTAGAAAATAGCAAGGAATCTTTTCACTATATTTTTCTACTTAGTCTAACAAAAGAATATTGTTTTTGCAAAGGTGGCTTTGACATTCAGGTATAGGAAAGGGTTGTGAAACACATGAAATCTGGTGACGAGCTCATATTTGGGGGCACACCCTGTGTACGAGCATTTGATAAGCAGCCACTTGGTTGACATTCTTGATCCTTGCTGTTTAAAAGGTTGGATACTCACCTTGTAACCTACTCCCCTTCAAATCTCTTAAAATAGGCACCTCAGAGAAAGTCACTGGAAAATTTTTCCCCATTTTCCATGAATGAGCAACTAGCCCATTTGTTCTTTCTGCCTAAGCAGAGGGGACTGCTGCTAAATTTAATTTTAGAGGTAGTGATGGAAGAGGAGTTGTACCTTTGTTTAGCACATTAACTAGCAAATGGAGAGTTATTATTTCTGTAGAAAAATCATCACATGGCAAAAATAGTTCTTTGTGAATTTAAGTACATCCTCAAGATCACCAAGTACAAGTTTGTTTTCCTGAATTCAAATACCCTCAGAGCTGTAAATATAACAGGGGTGTGATTTATTAGTTGCCATCAATATTCCCAAGGAAAAATAAAAAATACTTAAACTGAAATCTTTATTTAGTGACTTTGCCTTGGTGTCCACAGAGCTGGCCCAGTGCTCACTGTGAGAGAAACCAGATTGCTGGGTAGTCAAGAAGGGAATGGAGGTGGGGTGGGGGAAAGAAGCACTAATTGTGTTTTGGGCTGGGGGAAACAGATTCTAGTTGCCTTGTGCCAGCGCCCCCTTTCCTTATCTAGCTCAGGGTTCCCGGGCTGCACATCACTGTTCTGAAGCTTATCCCCTCATCCTTTTGCCTCTAAAGCTGCTTTGCGCAGAAAGAATATTGAAAAGTGACAACATCAGACAGAATTGAAGGGCCTGGGAAGTGAAATTGGTCCCTGGGCTTGGGTTCATGTCAACCCGGCTGCTAGCAGGGAGCAAAGGAAGGAGCATAACCTGCTAGAGGGAGGGGAGTCATTGGGTGAAAGCAGAGGCAGGGGTGGGCGTAGGGAGGGCGTGGCAAAGGACAAGGGCCTGAGGGCCTGATAGGGGAGTGGAACCTCGCGGTGGAGAGTCTGGGTACGCAGATCCTGCGGGGACGTGAGCAGGGCACCGGGCGTCAGGAAAGCCTGGCAGGTGGTAGGAGCGAGGCTCTGGCTTCAGTCCTGGGGTTCAAGGGAACCGAAGGGCTGTGAAAAGCATGGCAGGGCATCATTCTTTAAGACAAGAGTACTGGGCTGGTAGTCAAGCATAAGGAACAAATCAGGAGCCTGTTTCCCAGACCTTGGATATAGGTGGAAGCTTGGTCTCAAGCACAGATTCAGTTACTACAAGGACAGGATAAGGACCACGAGGCACCAGAAAAAAATACCCAGGCCCCGGGCTTCCTGAGCTACCGGGCGCAGCCCCTTCAGCTCCTTGGTAGGGTAGGATTGCCTGCCATTGTTCCTGCTGCCTGCAGCCCAGCGCAGCAGCAGTTCCTGAAGGGCTCCCTCCTCCAAGCTGTGGCTGCCCTGTGCACAACTAGGAACTGCTCTGCCTAATCAACCAGGATGGCTCCAAATTACTTCTATAATGAAAACAAAGGGGGAAGAAAAGAACATATAAAACTCGAGAAAGTGAATCAAGATGCCAGTGAGAATCAATTCTCCTGCTCAGGTATGCTGCTTAAGCTGCCCCTCCAAGAATAATAGGCTTTGGAACTGTAGTGATTTCTGGGTAGGAATAATTGAAGCACGACTCATTGCTTCTTTAGCTATTCCATCTGCAATTGGTACCTGTGAATCATTACCTTTCCTCCTACTCAGGGTGCACTGGGCTCAAGCATCAACTGGGTATCCTGCAGAATTAGCTGTCATTTGAGTTGCCTTCTCCAGATGGGTACATGTTTACTAGAATTTCTGAAATGCTTGGCAGAGCCACTGGAACAAAAACCAGCTCAGTTCTTGGTTTAGTGTGTTTCAGAATTTCTGCTCTAGTTTATGCTATTCTGGATCCTGCTGTAAGATGAGAGCATGGGGAGGTCTCTAGACCTACCATGTTCTCTCAGGGTCAGCAGACCTCAGCATTTCATGGAGATCTTGCCCAGGTCATAGGCTAGAGTGAGGCTTCCACAGTCATGTCATTTGCTACACTGTGTGGTGACTCAGTGGATAGAGGGGAGACTGAGGAGAGAGTCTGAGGGGAGACTCAGAGGATAGAGGCCAGAACAATGAAGGACATGAAAATTCTCTTGTTGGAGGAAGAGTGAAGGAAGCAGGGGTTGTTAAGCGTGGATAAATGATTACTCGGGGGTAAATCTTTTGGAAGACTGTCATGGGAAAGAAAGGTTCATGGTGTGTGTATGTGTGTGTGCGCGCGTGTGTGTGTGCATGCGTTTGTGTGCACATGCATGTGTATGCTTGGACGCAACACATATAACCAATGACTGAGTAGAAAATTAGGGAGTTAGATCTGAGATCAAGATAAGGGAGAGTTTATTAATATTCATATTTCCTTAAACGTAAAATATGTGGCTATGGGGGCTGTTGAAGCAGAGGCTGGCTAATCACTTGGCCAGGCATTTTCTGAGGGGGGACCAGCACAATTAGCCTACATGACATTTAAGGTCCTTGGATTACATGGTTAGCCTGGATGACATTAAACTCCTCTAACCCTGAGATTCTCAGCCAGAATCTACAGGCTTGACCTACTGACATAATACAACAGAAAGCATACTGGCCTGGGAGTCAGGAGACAGGAACTCAGGTTCTGGCTCTGCCTTTTATAGAACCTTTAGTAGCTACATTATCTTTTCAACTTCAAATTTTTCAGCTGTTATTTAATTCTAATGATAGGTGAGTTGATCTCACTGACCCTTACACAGAGCAAACAATAGTTTTAAAAGCACTTTGGGGAGTGCTGGATGGAGGTGGGCAAAGTGTTGGGGGCAGTGGGGGACATCTGCAATAATGTCAACAATAAAAAATTTAAATTGAAAAAAAGAAAAGGGGAAGGTGTTCTGAGAATTTGGTGAATGAGTTGATATGGGATATGACTCCTATCCCCTGTCAGAGCCTCTGACTTCCTCATTTACATGGACTGTTCAAACACTGCCTTGGGAATAGCACACAGGGACATTATGTTGTGTCTCCTTGGAGACAAAACTTTCTGGGGTGAGTTCTATGAACTGAGGCTGTGCCTGGCACTGGAGCTGCCCCCTAGAGAGACTCAGTGCTGGTGGGCACGGGGAACATGGACTGTGAACTCAGGGGCAGAGCCTGTTTGTCTCCTCAGGATGGCCATGGAGCTGAGGAGACAAACAGGCTCTGGCATTAAGGAAATCTGTCGGGAGAGAGAGACTCAGCCACCTAGCTGGGGCTGAGTGGATCCTGGACTGGTGCCTGGCAAGTAGAGTAAGTCATTTTCAAGACAAGCTCAAGATCTCTAGAAGATAAAACAAGGAAGTAGACACCAGAATGAGGGCCTAGAAAAGGGCATAGGTCTCAGGCATACGGAAGAGGCTCTGTTCTCAGAGTAGAAGCACAAAGTGATAAAAAAGCTAGAAGCTTA